TCAGGCCGACCCTGCCTCACGAGACACAGCTTGCCAACCCAGTCCCTGCCGGAGGGTCTGAACCTCCCCAGCTCTGTGGACGGTGGTCTTGCAGGGGTCCCGGCTTTCCTCTAGATGTCAGGGTGGCACGGATGGACTTTCCCTCGTGCCTACATCCGAGGCAGGACTGGGACTCCGTTCACCCGCCACCTCCCCACGCTGCTTTTCCCAATGAAGGATTAAATGGACATCCTTCTATGCGAATTTGTAGAGACACCTCGCTATACTGACTGGCTGGCTACCTAGTATCCTGCCACACGGATGACAGTTCAGTTCACCTTCTCCTTTTATTTAAGATGCATCTCATACACTGTTGAGTAGAGCGCACACTTGCATGAGTGATGGCGTTAACGCCAAGCAGGGAAGATGGACACCAGGCTGTTCTCCTGCCCCCATGGCGTCTACTTCCTTCCCTCCGTCCTTAGACATAAACTGTTTTCATTACTTTCTTATGTATTCTTTCACTGTTTCCTTATGTAATATAACCCTACAGGAATTTCATTCTTATTTCTCCATCTTTATTATACAGGAAGTGCGTGTTTTATAACGTGCTATGCTTTGCTTTCTAAAATTTATACAACCTGTATCTTGCCACATCAGTACGTGCAAGTCTGACTCATGTTTACGGCCGCATAATGTTCTAGTATATTCTATAAACGGTATTCTAGTGTTGGTATATCTATTAGTCAGTCCGACAGCAGTGGACTGTGGGTTAAACTTTTATGCCCTAACAGCGTTATAAGGAATAGTTTTGCACACATCACTCCCTGCAGGAGCGGGTGAGTCAGGGGACAAGTTCTCCAAAGTGGGACCCAATCCCTACTGATGGGTGTTTAGGTGATTTATAGTTTCTTACAACGACCTACGATGAAACAGTGAACATCACTGTATTTTTGTACAGCTTTGTGCGCTTTTCAGGAATTTCTTTAGAATGTGTCTTTAGATTTCTAGTTTCAAATGGTATGCTAAAATACGCTCTGGAAAGTTTTAGTGATTTCTAAGGTATGTGAATAATCTTTTCCTGGCTTTACCCATATTTATATCATGGTGTTTATTTTTTCTCATTAATTTGTAAGGCGTCTCTATGTATTAAGAACACAAGTGGGACACTTAATGGCAAAACATTTCCCCCGTTAATAATAAAACATTATTAATTAAAATTAATAATTTTAATTATTGTTTTACCTTCATGATGATACTTTTAATTTGTTGGTAGGTTTGTTCACTTTGACTATGAGTCAGTTGTTAATACTATGAATTCAAATCTGTCATTTTCTTGTGGTTTCTCACTGTGGAATAATGTTTGGATATGTCTTCTCCATCTGAAAGTCATAAAACATTCACACACACATACACGCATACGTAAGTGTGCACACACATGATACACACCCACATACACTGATAAGATTCTTATGCTTATACCTCATATCCACCTGTGCTTATCTTTATATATAAAGTAGTTCTTGAAATAAGTCCTTTCTCCATAAATTTAAAATGCTACTCTCCTGAGAGAGGACTCAGAGATGTTCAAAATTATAAGAGCTTTGACTTCTCAATTCAACTAACCAGAAAAGAAAAAAGAAACAACTTAAATACAACGTAAGAACTATCAATGTTGCTTCACAGTCTGGGTATAGAATAGACCAGAATAGGGACGCTCTATTTGTGGTAAGGGACCGCATATCAGATTAAGTGGACGCAAACGATCCTCGCGGGACCGGGGTCATCCCCAGTGCTCAGGGCAGGTCCCCAGGAACCACAGGCAGTGGGCACAGGGGTGAGGTGAGGGACAGGTTAATGTTCTCCAGGACGCGGGTCCGCTAATCTGGGGGTCCCCGGCCACGGCTGCTCTTAGGATTCCACATGTTCCTTTGTCCACTTTCCCGTGACACCCGCTGGTCTCTGGGCGCGTGACCCTGCCATCCACAGGCAAACACTCTCTGGGTGTGGGGTTAAAGCCACTACTTTCATTTTAAATCTGTGGGGGGCACTTCTGTGACATTCGTCACCTCACTTGTCTGAGTCGGGGGTTCTGAGTAAATAGTTGAGCTTTTGTGACGCCGCTTAAAATGGCAAGAAATGAAATCACGCTAAAATCTATAAAATTCTAAACAAATGCAACATGGGCGAAGATGCTGCTAGGCAGTAACAGCAATCACTTAATGGATGTGCGTCCCAGTAACAGAACTTCTACAGAAGACAGACTCATGGGGCCTCCACGGACGTGGCAAATCCACAGAGGGCTCCTATCGGGCACGGCACCCTGGGGTCACCTCGCCACACCGCCCTCCTTGTCTTGTTTGCTCCAGGGCCGTGCCAGATGAGGGGAGAGAATCATCCGCACGCATGGAACTCAGCTCGGTGCCCCAGCGCTTACTGGAAGCCTGGATGGGGGGACGGAGTGTGGGGAAGTGCAGCCCAACAGCCAGGTTATCTCTGTGGCAGTGTGGCTGGCGCCGTGGGGGCCGAGGGCGGAGGTCGGGCTATGTCTGGAAGAGGGTCAGCGGCTAGGCACCACTGATGACTCACTCCCCCAACTTCTACCGGGGCGGATGTGGCTCAGGCACTCAGAAACCAGCCGTGCGCGAACGCCCAGCCTGACTTCCACCTGTGGACGGTCCACACCTGGATTGTGACGTCAGGCGGCCTCAGCCCCTTCATGGCTCTTGGGTTTTGGAGGGAATTTTGACTGTTTTGGGTCATGGTGCGGGTTTTACAAATGTAAACTCCTAACGCTGTCTGGTGGGCACCCAGTACCAGACCCCGGGCGGTCTCCACCCACTGGAGAATAAGGTGGTCTCAGGTTCCGAGGACAAATCCACGGTAGACACGCAGAATGTCGGGGGAGGGCTAGTCCCCGGGGGCCGGCAGGGCAAAGGGGAGGAAAGTCATTAACACGAAAATAAAGTTCGTAATTCTGAACACGACCTGATCCCCGCCCACCATTAAAACACAGCCTGCCTTTCTTTTTCTTTCCTGTGGTTTGCTTTAAATGTATGCAATCGTGGTATGAATCACAAACTTTCCAAATGCCAGCCCACGCCAGTGGCCACGTGCCCAGTGGTTCAGAGCCCCCAGACCGTGCGTGACTGTCCCCAGCTTGAGCCCCCAGACCTGCTCAGCACAGCAGTTGCCTGTGTGAGTCCTGATGCTTCACGATCGTCAAACGTGACCCGAAGCAGCCCAGGGAAACAGCTGGTCGGCTCCCTGCCCTGCTGTGGAGGCCGGCCAGGTTTGCGCCTGGCTCCACGGCATCTTAAGTCCTGAGGACAGCTTTCCAGTAATGGCGCTGCCCGACTGTGTCTTTGCTTATGCACGCCTCCCTTCCCCGGGGTCCCTCCAGCACATCAGTGCTCACCCCAAGCTTGTCCCCGACAAACCCAACAGTCTTCTCTGTGTGAGGCAGAGCGGAGTGGAGTGAGACAGGCCGCGGTGTCTGCCTCCACCCCACTTCCCGTCCGGCATTCCCAACACGGTCACTGACTTAAACTGAACCAGGTCGCAAAGACGTGGTTTGCGCTGGTGAAGTGTGAGATGTGGCTGCAGCTTACAATTTGTGCACCCTGCACGCTAACGTTAGTGACGAGCTGCAGGGGCTGGGGGGAGTCACAATGCTGTTTTGCTGGTCACCGCGTGCCCCAGGCACGGGCAGGGACGACACAGAGATCACACCTCAGTCTGGGGCTTCGTCCCCACGCTCACGGGTTATGGTGAGCGACTCTGCAACACCAGCAAGACATGAAGAAGCGGGTCCCCGGGTGCCGAACCTTCACGTGGGAAACTAACAGCTTGCAGGGGGAGGAGCCAGACAGCTGAGCCTTGAGTAGCACGGGTCTGAACTGCGTGGGTCCCCTTCTGCGTGGATTTTTTCCAATAGATACAGTGCAGCACAGCAAATGTATTTTCTCTTGCTTAGGGTTTTCTTTTTTTAAATTCGTTAATTTTTTTAACATTTACTTATTGTTGAGAAAGAGACAGAATGCATGCGGGGGTGAGGCAGAGAGAGAGGGAGACACAGAATCCGAAGCAGGCTCCAGGCTCCGAGCTGTCAGCACAGAGCCCGACGTGGGGCTCGAACCCACCAACTGTGAGATCATGACCTGAGCTGAAGTCGGACGCTCAACCTACTGAGCCACCCAGGTGCCCCGCTTAGGATTTTCTTAATAACATTTTCCTCTAGCTTATTTTATTATAGGAACACGGTATATTGTACATACATCATATAAACTATGTGTTAATTGACTACTTATGTTATTGGTAAGGCTTCCAGCCAACAGTAGGCTATTAGTAGTTAAGCTTTTGGGGGAGTCAAAAGTCGTACGCAGACTTTCGACTGCCAAGGGGTCAGCGAATCCAGAAGCCCGTGTTGCCCGAGGGTCAAATGTGCATCCAAACTTAGCTGCTGGGACTGGACAGACAGAGCAAGGCGAGTGGTAAGGGCCATGTTTTGCACAGTTCATATGAATACCTCTTTCCCACATAGTTTCCCCTGCTTATATTTTGAAGATCCGTTAAATTTATCAGCCATCTATGTTTGGACAGTACCATAAAGCATACGCTATTGTACTTGTGAAAGTCATACAGGTTCTGTCCCCTCCCCCGCAAACAGAAAGGTTGCCTACAAACGCACTTACAAAGTTTCAGCCGACAGCACAGCCCCTATCGTGATTTTCACACACAGACACACACGTGTGCACACAAATACGCTCCTGGAAAACCAACCTGCCATCACCTGAGAACACAGGATGGATCACACTGGCTATGACAGTGGCTTTAGGATTAACTGACATAGAAATCACCCAAGCAAATGACCAAACGTATGGCTTTTAAAAGAACTAAACAAAACATTTTTTGAAGGTCTTGAGACTGGTGGCCATCCATCTAATATTCGCAACTCAGAAATGTGAAGGTGGCCACGACGGGCCTACGGCCGGACAGGGAAGCGGGGGAGGAGGGCTTACGTTTGGAGATCTGCCAGCGGCCTCGGTCCGATGGGCTTGAGCAGGGGCTCTGGCCGCATGGCCGCCGTGGGCGACGTCTTGGGGCTGGAGTCGGACTCCGCACTCTCCTCGTCGCCCATGGCTTTGATGTAGCTCCCACTCCTCATTCTCCGGCAGGGGATCTCCTCGTCCTTGCCGCCCGTGGGGCACCCCCCCCACTCGTCCTGAGGCACCTAGGGGAGAACAGACACACGCACGCGTCAGGGGCTCCTCGCGGGGGACAGATGCTCTGTGAATTCTGGAAGACACGCCTCGTATGGCCGCTTGTCACTGAGAGCGGGGCGCGTGAAGACACGTGCTTCCTGGAGCTGAGCCCTAAGGACATTAATGGACAATTGTTGCCTTTCCCCATTAAAAGGCTGATACACAGACGCGGAAAAAGTGAGGGCACATGAGGAACGGCGGAGGAGAGGAAACCACTTGGAATCTCAGCACCCAGAAAACAACACTGCTCACATTTCAGATTTACTTCCTTTTGGCACAAAAGGAAATCGAAATCGTGTTGAGCAGGCTGGGGGGCACAGAGGTATCCGGGATATGGAGGACAAGGAAGACCAGAGGGCGGGACAGGGCGACGTTCCTGGGGTTCGCCCCGGGTGCGGATACAGGAGCCGGTGAGGCTGGAGGCCGAGGGGCGTCGGCGTGTGGGATCCTCGCGCTCGCTCACAGACCCGACAGGCCCCACATGCACCGCCAGCTCCAGGCTCTGGGCCCGGCCCTGAGATGGGAGAGCAGGCGGGCACCTGGGGACCCACCTGCCACACCTGGGACCCGAGCACCTCCCTCCGTAAGCAGGGAAGTCCCAGCACCACGGGCGCATCTGCTCCGTGCCGCCAGGGTCGGGCGCTCCTCACCGTTCACCCCGCTTGGTCAAGCACCCTGCCGGCTCCCGCGCACCAGCTTGGAAAAGCAGCGCATTCGGGGGAAAGCCCCTTATTCAGTTCCTTCAAACGCCTGACCGTGGCATCGCTTCGGCACGTGACGTCTGGCACAGATAGCCCAGGACAGGACAGCGGCCAGGACCACAGCTCCCCCACGGTCCCTGTAAACTCTGCAGGCGCGGGCATCTGGACAGCCCCGGGGGCGATGGCATACATGGGTCCCGTCTGCACGTTTGTTTTTCTAAAACAGCACGTTCCCGGACCGGCTCAGGTACACGGGAAGCTTGTGGAACCGCGGCAGGAGCACGCAGCGGAGCAGACCCAGACGCTGTGATGAGGGGCGGCTCCAGCAGAAACTTCCAGGTCGTCAGGTCCTCACTCAGCTCTGACCGCACGGCGCTCTGTGGCTGGGGGACTCACATGGGCCAGTCCCTGTGGCTGCAGAACAGCAGTTGGCCGGGTGGCCTCAACAGCCTTTCCAGGGAGCGTCACTAAGCTCCTGTGTGCAGGTCCCCACACGGTGCAGACGGGCATGAGACCATGTCCACAGACCAAGACAGCCGAAGATCTCGGCCTGTTCATGCTCTCTGGCCCGGCAAGTGGCTTCTGTGGAGGTGTCCGCAGACTGTCAGATTCGGTGCCAGGGGATGGTGAATTAGCCACTATGGGAAAGGAGGAAACACGGAAGCATCCCATAGGAAGCAGCTTCGGTACGTACCACAATCACACAACGCCTACTTCAGCCCCCAAGATAACTGCAGAGGAACATGTATTCAGCCATGGAAAGAGGTTCACGGGGGAGAAAGAAAGCAGGTTTTAAAATACAGTCTGCACTCAATTTTTTTATACTTCAAAAATAGATACTCCTGCATTATGCATGGAGACACAGCTGGCAGAATGTGGAGTGGGGGTCATCCCTGGGAGAGTGATTATGGGCTCCTCAGTTCTCTTCATTCTGGTATTTTCCAGATTGACCACTTGGAACATATACTGCAGTTACAACAGAAAATAAACTTATTTTTAATTCAAGAAAAAAATCGGTCCTCACGGCCCCTGGGTGGCTCAGTCGTTAAGCGTCCAACTTCAGCTCAGGTCGTGATCTTGCGGTTTGTGAGTTCAAGCCCCACGTCGGGGTCACTGCTGACAGCTCGGAGCCTAGAGCCTACTTCGGATTCTGTGTCTCCCTCTCTCTGCCTCTCCCCCGCTTACGTTCTCCCTCTCTCTCTCTCTCTCAAAAAACATATACAAAAATCTTTCTGGTGTGTTACAGCATCAAACACCTGCAGCAGGTGCACACGAGTGGCCAAATGTCCAGCCACAAACATCACACACCTCTGTGGCTTCCAGCGAGTGAATGCACAGATGGCTGTCTCCTGACAACAGCCACCAGCCTCTGCAAATCCGAAGGTCACTTGCTGCGTCTAGTGACCATCATCCACCCGCATATGACGAGGAGCAAGGTTGATCATTTCTGAGTAGGTGTTTTCCTGTGGCTGACCTTAGGGGCCTCCTGTTTTCGCTGCAAGGATACTTCAGCTCCGCGTATTAAAATACATCCTCCCTTCCTTCCAAGCAGTAAGACACGGGTGAAAGGGCCCAGGGCTCTGAACAATGTTCCCTTTCAGGTGTTGAAATCAAGGAAGAAAAATAGCGTCGAATGCTGTTTGTCCTGCAGGGAATGTCTTCTTCACTCAGTCAACAAGTTTTTTGTTTTAAATGTGTACCAAGTACTTTAGCCAATGGGGATATCGTTGAGAGAAGACAGCTGGGCTTCCGAACCCCGGATTTCCACTGAACAGGACTACAGCTCTATGTGGGGGTGGGCTCCAGGGGCCATCATGGAAACATGGGACAGTTGTGACAGTCACACACTTGGAGAGCATCACAGCATCCCAGGGCCAGAGATGCTAGTTTTGGGGAAGCACGAAGCAATCTCACCCAGTGAAGACCGGGCTCACGTCCTGTATGACTCTGAATGTCTCTTCCCATCTAGTTACTTAAGCCTTGAATCTAACCCTGTGTGGTATATAAATCAAGGGGTTTTGTGCATGTGTGTGTGTGTGTGTGTGTGTGTGTGTGTGTGTGTTTGCAATTTTAATGAACAATGAATTCTTCAGGACTGCAAGTAACCAGGTAAACCAAGGGAAGGGTGAGCTTTGGTTTGATGTTTCACCAAGAATTTTTTATCATTTCCAAAAACCCCACCAGGTGGGCGAATCCGGTGTCTTTGTAAGTGCCCCCACCGGTCTAACCGGTAGCCCTCAATTCCGGTGAATCCGCAGCCAGGAAGGAACACGCTTCCCAGCACTCCAGTCTGAACAGCGCTTGCCATTAGAACTCACACTTTCTGTTGAAAGTGATCCTCCCTTTATTTCTGTCACGTTAGCGTTTGGGCACTTAAAGACGTGCGTGTCTCAAGTAGTGTGTGTAGACCACAGTGTGTAAGTTCAGTTTACAACAGTCAAGGGGACATTATGAAACTTGTGATAAACGGGACACTTGTTTTGCTGAGTTCATGAGCCATCGTTACGGACAGGAAAGCTGTTTGAACAGTTACACGGATGCGTCATCAGTGCAGGGAGTGTGCAGAGAAGGTGGGGAGGTCATCACGATGGGGGCGGGGGCGGGGACACAGGGCGCAGGGAGTGGTGCATGCGGACCCCCTGCTTGGTCACCAGCCCAGGGGAGAGAGCGGGCAGCTGAGCATCCCAGGTCCCTCTGCCTCGTGCCATCTGGTCACACGGATGCTTCTCAGCTGGAGGTCCCTCTGGGACATTCGGCAACATCTGGAGACAGGTTTCTGTCTCCAAAATGGCGGCACTGCTGGCGGCCAGTGGGCAGAGGCCAGGGATGCTGCTCAACGTCCAGGTGCACGGGCCACCCCCACAAGAGAGACAGCTGTCCAGCCCGGCATCGGCCCACCGTCAGCCGCGGAGAAAATCTGGAGGCCAGGGTGCTGCCTGCGCTGGGCCACGTGCATCCAGCCAGGCGAGGCAGGGGCGAGGCAGCCCGGATCGGCCCCGGGACCCAGGTCTCCTTAGCGTGGCTGGGGACTGCCTTTTCGTTGGCTCACTCCTGTATGGCCATTTACCCCGTGCGCCACCGTTCAGTTGCTGAGTTCGTTTTCTTCAGGCCACCGCGGTTTCCGTTTCCTTTGCCACGACCAGGACAGACGACGGACAGAAGCCAGACACGGCCGGGAGTCCTGGGCCACTGGCCAGACTCTGGCCCGCCTGTACTCATGCTGCCCCGAGGGCTGGGCTCAGCACCCCCTCGCTCACTCGGTGAATTCCCTGCTGCCGCCTGCAGGCCACGCATCCGGACCCCCTCTCCCGGAAAACATGCGGGCCGGGCCGGGGGAGGCCCATGCCCGCGGGTAGGGAAGCAGAACAGAGAGGGACCTCACCGCACGGAGGTGCCCGATGGCGCCGCACGAACAGTCTCGCCTCTGAACCCAAGGAGCCTGAGACCCCCGGGCCCTCCCACTCAGGCACGACTGCTCTTTGACTTCCTGCTGGAAACGCCACATTGGCCACGCGTCATGTGGGTGACGTCACTCCTAGCTGTAAACCTGGATGAAACAGAATGTTCGCTCAGGCCGCGGCGTAGGCTAACGACCCACGATCTTCAAGGGGCTCGTGCTTTACTGGCAAATCTAACCGCAAACTCTGACCAACACAAAATCAGCCTCAGGGCTGGCAAACACTTGAAACCCCAACTTCCTCCCATGAAGAATTCATCTCAACAGACATGTCCTGAAAGCCTGTCGCTGTGGGATGGGACAATTCCAGGTACGAAGGCTGATGTCCTGCCGTGGGACCCAGTGCTGGTGGCCGTTCTGTGGGCCTGTTACTCATTATTCCTGCCCCGAGGGTGGCCGGGGGATGTGCTGCTTGGCTCTTTCGGGCTTGGGCTCTGTGGTCCTCAGGACTCTGCCTCCTAGAGGTCCCGCCTCCAGGTTCCGTCTCCCCAGACCTGCCCGGGGTGGGGTCTCCTGTCATGCGGCAGGCAGCACCCCCACAGCCCCGTGAAGAAGCCCTCCAGGTGAACCCTTCGCAGGGGATGCTGTTGTTCCCAGACTCACCAGCCTGGTCATGGGGACACTGCACGGGACAGGAGTGACAGGCTGCCTAGAAACTGCCACATGCGTGAGGAGATGTGACCTCTTGGGGGAGTGGGCCAGGAAGCACACAGAAACCCTGTAAGAGGCAGGGGATGGGGAGGGGCTGGGAGAAGGACCAGCCGTTTCCACCAGGACGAGGGGGCAACAGATACGAGCACAGGGCGCACGTCACCAGGGACACAGCAGCTCAGCAGTTGCAAAAGTGGCCCGAACAACCGAAATTCCTGTGTGGCTGCAATGCCAAGCCGTTTCCTGTGGTGACGGGTCACTGGGGACAGCCTTGGGGGGGACCGGTTGTAGGGGCAGTCACGTGACCCCAGCGGCTCTACAGTCCCTGAAGCTCCTGTGGACGGTCCCAGGCAGATCACGTGCTGCCCGTGTGTGGACAACACCCAGGAGCCACTCTAAGTGAGCCCATTGATGGGGGGGCCGCAGGTAGATCCACAACCGAAAGGCATGACCTCTCTGGCCCTTTCAAGACTGTGCGTTTGTGTCCAAAGTGGCTTCGGACACGCCTCCCGGCCTGGTATTTCATTCTGGCCTTGGCAATGAGACTGCTGCCTTGGAGTGACCATGACCTAAGGTCTTGAGCAGGTCCCTGGCCAGGTTCCCAGACTGGAACCTGCCTCCGGCACCGTGGTGTGCACGCACGGAGGGCAGAGTAGCTGAGCGCGGGCTCCTCCCGCCGGCCACACCAGCTGTGCTCCTACTAGAACCGAAGGGCCTTCCGTGAAGCCTGTGGGAATAGCCGCTTTCATGAGGAGGCAGGAGTCCAGCGAGAACATGGGAACATGATCCCTCCAGTGCTGGGATCAGCCTCCTCTGGCTCAGGGGACGCCGGGCAGCTTCCTTTCATGGTTTCCAAGTGTCCTCCGCGACGTCACGGGACAGGTGCACCTCTTGCCCAGGCGCGGGGTCTCTGTGCCGCATCAGGGCCGCAGGGGGAGGGCGGTCTGCCGACTCCAAGCCTGCAGCCTGTTGGGCACCCGGGTCACAGAAGCCAAGCCGACGAGCACAGACCGAGGGGCAGACCGGCACGGGGTGTGGGAGTCAGGCAGGAAGGAGACGCACACACGGTCGGCAGCCGCTGGGG